CACTAGTGTAGTAACTGATTCAAGCAAGGGGGGTACGGAAACCACTGCGTGAAAGGTTCTGAGATAAGTTGGTCACATAATCTTGGAATATCTTTCCCACAGATTGCTTGTCAATTACAACAGGAAAAATTCCCTTGTAATGGGGAAAGCTGGTCAATATGACTGGAACCGAGTGGTCCAAGGTTCACATCATCACCAGTATGGTGACAGATCGACATCATGACAGATGACATGGTGCCTCCTGGTACCACGCAGGGAGGGGGACTCAGTATCACGTGAAATCTCACTGCCCAAAAGGCACAACTTGAATCTCATTGTGAGGAAACATCAGATTGTGGGAGATTCTGCAAAACAACTGGCCCCTGAGAAGTGACTCTTGCAAAACACACAAAAAAAAAAACCGAGGGAACTTCTTGACGAAAAAGAAGTCCTGAGATGTGACAAGAAAATTGCATGTGTGTTTCCCGTTGAATGCCACATCTGTCAGCCACCTCCCTGCCCCCGAACCTCCCAACTATAAAAGATATAATGGATGAGAGTATAAAATGATGCAGCCACTGTAGATAACAGTATAGCAAGTTCTCATAAATTAGACATAGAATTGCCATATGATCCAGCAAACCCATTTCCACATGTATACACAGAAGAATTGAAAGCAGGGTCTCAAAGAGATATGTATGTGTGCACCGTGTCCACAGCAGCATTTTTCACCATAGCCGAAAGATGGAAATGGGTGTCCACCGATGAATAAATGGATAAACAAAATGTGATATAAACATACAATGGAATATTATGCAGCCTTTAAAAAAATCTGACATGTGCTACAATGTGGATAAACTTTGACGACATAAGTCGTCATGAACAGACAAATACTATCTGATTCCACTAATTTGAGGTCCCTAGTGTGGTCAGTTCAGAGAGACAGAAAGTGGGTGCCAGGAGCCAGGGGTGAGGGGAACAGGAGTTTACTGTTTAACGGGGACAGAGTTTCAGTTTGTGAAGCTGGGAAATTCTGAATGACGGGGATGGCTGGACAACAATGAACATACTTAATGCCGTGGAACTGTACACTTAAAGTGATAATGGTGGTAAAGTTTATGTTGTGTGTGTTTTACAATAAAAAAGATATATTGGGACAGTGGGGAAATAAGAATATGGAGTGTATATAAGTGAGATGATGGAATTGCATCTATGTTAGAGCCCTGAGAGAGACGGTGTTACTATGGTTACTATGGTTATCAGATGCTTCTGATTCTCAGGGTACAGGGTAAAGTGCAAAGTGTAGGGACCAAGCATGATGATGCTACAATTTGGGAGAAAGAAATAGAAGAAAAGAGCAAATATGGCCACAATCAACAGTTGGAGGCTGGAGGTGGATGATCATCTGTTGTATCGTTCCTTCAACTCTTTTCTATAGGAACTGGAATTTTTTCCATGTGAAAATTCTGAGACAGTCAAAGGAAGATAACCACTGGTGACCACTGGTGACGTGGAGGTGACGGGGACCTTGTTGGTGAGCTGTTGGCATTTGAGAAGCCCACAGAAGGGAAACAAATACTAAAACTTATCATTGGCATCTGGCCCCTGCTTGCTGTGTGCCAGATGTTCTCCTGAAAGTGGTGCATGTTCTAGTCCTTTTAATCTTTTACAAACTCGAGGTGAACACCACTGTTATCTCCATTTTACAGATGGGAAAACTGAGGCCTAGAGAGGAGAAAACCCTTGTCTCAAACCAGAAGGAAGTGGGCTGAGTTGGGAGCAAATCCAAGGCCTCGCTCTGGTTCAAAGGTGCCCCCTCCTCCAGCCTCATGACACCTCAGCTATGGGGGCAGTCACCAGCTGGCTTTTGGTGCACTTATCACACTTTTTTTTTCAGTACTGCAGTAACACATTTTTTAATAGAGGTACTGGGGAGGTACCCCCTGTTTTAAAATTTATTTATTTATTTTTTAACTTCTGACATTCTTGAAATGCTTTATCCCACCATCCAAGAGCAGTTGCATCCTGAACAGTGCTGTCATATATTATATAACAATCACTTGTTATATGTTAAACAACCACTTGGGGACTGGAGGGGTGCTGGGGTCCTGAGGAGGACTCCATTGTGGTACCCCCAACCTAATTTTCCCCCAGCACATGGAACAGAGCTGGACAAAGGCCTGTTGCAGTGCAAGTGGTCAGAACCAGGTGGAGGAAGGGACTAGGGCTGGGGAGGACGAGAGGTATGCCTGGAAGGCTTCCTGGGGGAGGTGGCATTTGCTCTGCAGCTTTGAAGATCATAGCCCTTCTGGACCTAGTTCTGGGGATGTGGGGATGGCCCAGACCTGGCCTCCAGAGCCTCAAGGATGCTCAGGCTAAGGCTAAGGACAGAGTTGTCCGGAAGAGGGGCAGCTGAAGGACACCGCCCCAAGGTTGGATCCTTTTGTCCACTGCAAAGGGAAGACCACATAGTCAAACCAGCAGGGGTATATCCCACCCTGGCCTAGCAACCACCCCTCCACGGGAGCCAGGACCTCCACCCAAGCTATTT